AAAAAAAAAAGATGCAACAACAACATTAAAAACATTAATTAAGAAGTGTAAATTTCAAATATGTCGATCTTATTTAGTGTAGTTTATGAGATTGTTTATATATGTATATATTTGATGTAATTTTTACTTGTAATTATGATTGAAAATAATTTATAAATGTTTAAAAGAGTTAATCAATTTTTTTCATCCGATTCAAAATGATATCAAACATTTTAATACATACTTTTAAAATAAATTTTTTAAAATAGTGTCATACACTGCACTAAAATAAACCATTAATGAGAAAGTGAATACAACGACAGCTTAAGTTTGTACCCAACATTTTATATAATTTAAGGGTAAATTACAAACACCCCCTCGAGATTTGGAGAAAATACAGATTCTCCCTTGAGGTTTGAGAAATTACATCCCGTCCCCTGAGGTTTATATTTCCATAACAAATTGCCCCCTAAGGTTTTTATTTTCATACAGATTCTCCCCTAATTTGTTATGCAAATTTGACCCTCAGGGGGCAATTTGTAATTTCTCAAACCTCAAGGGGGAATCTGTATTTTCACCAAATCTCGAGGGAGTTGTTTGTAATTTGCCCATAATTTAAATACAAGATACAATATTTAAATTTGAGTATTGATCTTTCAATGATAGAGCTCAATAAAAAAATTATTACAAAAATAGTACTTATTTAATAATATATTAGGTTAAAAAAATAAAAATAATAATGTCAATTTTTGCTTAAAAAAGTAAAAAAATTAATAAATAAATAAAACAGTAAACTAGTTTGGCAATATTAGCTTATTTAAAATACAAAAGTAAAAAAAATATTTTATTAAAATAAAAAATAATATGTTGAAAGGCCATTTTATTCTCACTTGTCATATTTCCTAAAAAAGTACAAACCTAATAAAGGATAATAGTCATTTTGCTAAAAAAAAAGTCAAGAAAACAAACATCACTTGAAAAATCAAACAAATAACTAAAAAAAAACTCTTACAAAATTATCAAACGCATAATTTTTTTAATAAATACTTTCTAAATTAAAATGTATATTTGTCAAACCCCATTGTGTTTTAAGAGAACTGTTTCTATTTGGTTTGATTTTTAAAATTTATTTTTAATTAAAAAAATAATTAAACAAAAATAAACACTAAAATATATTTAACAATTTTTAAAATTTATTTTAAATTCATATAAAAAAAACATTTTTCATCAAATTAGTTTTAATCTTTTTTTTAAAAAATTGTTTTGTTTTAAATAGATTCTGGAAATCAAAATCAAAATAGAATTGTTAAATAATAAACAAACTTATTTAGATAAGTGTACTTATTTTATTTGAGTTATATCACTTTTCTATTTCTTTATATATATTTTTATAAAAAATTAAAAAAAATATTTATTTTAAATCCCAAATAACCAGGTGACTATGAAGAAGGGTAGAAGAAGAAAAATGTTAGGATCACAAATATTTTATCAAATATCTAACATGGATATGAGACCTACACCATGTAGGTCTCGTATGAGTTCCACACCCATATCACAAATATTTTATCAAATATCTAAAAATGTAAAGTATAAATCTCCAGAATGTCGCTAGCTTTCTCTTTCTCTACTCTCTCTCAATTGTGGTATAACTTCTATATCATTGGCCTCCTTCACTCTTTGTTTCTATCTTTTCTCTTTGAACCTTGTTAACTTTCTCTCCACGGTTAATAAACATGTTAACATACAAGTTAGGTATTAACTAAGTAACGACGGAATAAAAGTCGATATTGGCAAGCCCACTAAATGCTAGTTAAATGAAATTTTTTAACCAATTTAACTAGGCACTTTTTATTTTGCCCTCCTTAATTTGTACTAGTTAAATTTATAAATTTATTTTATTCTTCATATTCCCCCCTCTTATTTGTCTTCCCTTCTTAAAATGTAATTTTTTAAAATGTTGAAAAGTAAGTAGTTAAATTAGATAACACTGTTGAGTAATGCATGGTAAAAAATTAATGTCCAAGTAGAGAAAACACTTTTAGGTTTCGTTTGGGGACTAAATATTTTAGTTAAAAAATCAGTATAAGTTGTCATATTACTCTCTCTACTTTCCTGTACATCTTTTCGTAAAGAGTCAAAAAAATTACTAAAATAGCTGGTTCCCAAACGAGGCCTTAATGTTTTATTACTAGCTAAAATTGCCCAGCAATTTTTTTTTAAACATAAGGTAATTAGTATTGGTATAGATGATCTTATTAATATATATACTTTATTTACATTAAAAGTAATATGGGGAGATAGAAAAATGAAAGATGATAGATTAATATATGGGATAGAGACTTGACCACTAAGGCTATCCAAAACCAAACTAGAGTATTATGTTAAAATTAATGTACTCATTCAATCTTAAAACCAATTGATAACCGATGAAGTAACTCTTAAACTATATTAACAAACTTGGGTGACTTTTGGGTGATATAGAGAGATATTGTCAAATCAATCTCTAATAATGTATTTCCCGTTAGGCCATTTTTTTGATTTGTTTTTAATAATTAATTAGTATAAATAGTATAAAGAACTAGTAGTAACAAACCCCAAAAATGAAAAATAAAGAAATTTATATAGTTATTAGGAAATCAATCTCATTTTAGTATTTTTCTGTTGGCTTTTTGGCTTTTCGAAGGGTATTTTTGTGAATGTGAGCGTGCCAGCAAGGATCAATCAGTCCTTACAGAGATTGTGATTGCCAACCAATTATCAGACGATTGTGTTTTAGTTCTTTTCAGCCTCAATGAAGAGGACTTTTACTGGTGGCTTGACTTAGGAGAAGTTAATAGAAATAACAGTAATATGAAGAACAATTGAAGTATTTCATAAAACCCTGAATTTTGTGTCTACCATCGTACATTGAAACATCCGACAGAGAAGTGTTGGACTCTCAGGAAAATCTTCAGAGATAAAGTCGAAGCAGACGAATTGAGGTTCAGAAAGCAAGGACCCATAGCTTTACAAGGGATGGATTTTGGAGATTTTTAACTCTTGGGAAAGAACTAATTTCCCTTCTCCATTATCAACCTTGAGAGTGAAAGTGGGAGATCAATGGGAGAGCCTTGCCATTATTCTATTCTCTAGCCATTTTGCCTTCTTCTTCACCCAATCTCTTATCTCCATCATCTCCTTTGTTGTTGTGTTCCTAAGTTAAGATTATTGAAGAATCTAAGCCTCTCATCATATTCTAGAGAATTCGATCTTCGAATTTTCCAACTCCTTTCTTGAACCCTCTCCTACACTCAACAAAGCCTCTGTATATTCCAACCATTTTGGATAAATTGATATGCAACTTCCAGCTTTCCACGAAAAAGAGGGTGCAGAATGATATTCAGTGATGCTTTTACAAGTCGGTTCATGTTTCATATAAAATGCCGACAAATATATCACAAAAGGCAGCATGACTACTGATCAATATAATTAACCTAACAAAATCTTGACATCTGTGGATACTAACATTCACTTTTCCTATATGGACGGCCACATCATCTCCACATCAATGTCTCTTAATTAGTGATATGTCATGTTGTGTCAATATCGTTAGGTAACATATAGGTGAATAACATATCTCTAGGTGTGTAAACGGTTCGATTCGGTCCGTGTTAAGAGTATATTTAGTACCAAACCAATCCTTTCGATTTTTATGATTGAAAAACCGATACAGACCGTATGCTACGGTTCGATTTTATCAGTTTTGTCAATTTGATGTAGAAGAGAAATTAATATTAAGTTTTAAAAAGTTTTATAATAGATTATAGAATTTTACATTGAAAATAAATGAAAATTGCTCTATAAATAATTTTCTCCCTAATTTTTATCAAAAAAGTGTATTATATTAGTTACTTCTCATATAATGTTCGACAAATTATAATATAAAAATATTTTTTAAAAAAGAGATCGGTTCGGTTTGCATTTTATAAAAAGTTTCAAAATCAAAACAAATGGTATGTTATAAAAAACAAACCGAAAATTAAAATTTTGATCGGTTTCAATCTGTTGGCTCGATTTTATTAGTTTTTTTTACATCCCTACATCTCTCCAAATATAGGAGAAATTTACAATATGCATCCTTTTAAATGATGCACATTATAAAAAAGTTATGATTTTTTATGATGAATGTTATGATTGTTTGTAATGTGTGACATTTTGTAGTAAAGTTATAAATAGCAAATTTACGATGTGCATTCTAAAGTTAGAAATGATAATGTTATGATATTTTGTGATTTTTGTTATAACACTTTGAGATATTGTTATGAAATTTTTCAATAAAAAAAAAGTTAGGACTTTTGTAGTGAAAAAATTATGACATTTTAGATTTAACTTATGAAATTCTGTAAAAAAATTATGAAAGACATACTATATGCACCTTTTTGAAGGTGCACATTGTAACATGTCCCCCAAATATACCCACCTGTAAAACGCCAAGGACTAAAAATCAAGATTGCCTCACTTGGCTTGGCCAAAATCTCCCCAAGCAAGCGATTGCCTAATCTCCAAAATGGTTATCACCATGGACCTTCCCAAGATTATCAACAAGTGATATGGATCAAACCTTGTGAACAGCTAGTCTCCTTGACCTTTCAACTGCTATCTTCTCTATCTTAGAGACTGCCTTTGGCTTTCTCCGCTGCCTCTGATAGTCCCCTTTGCCAACTGAACACCTACCATCCTCCCAGATCATCCTGTCCTAGCCACCCCCGACACTATCATCCCCAATATCTACAACTAATCTGAAAGGATGGATTCGGAGACTTCTAAATCTAATCGTTGAAGTAATCAGTGACAACAAATTGGATTAAATGATATGGGAAAATAAAATAAAATTTTGAACACGATAAAACAAGCTTCATTGGTCAAAATCCCATCATGGAAAATAGAACATGTAAAGGGCAACCTGTGATAAAAGTATTCTGCTATCATTTGCAATTACTGTATATGCATATGTAAGACATCTGCAAACTTACAGTTGGGAAACTCTATACAAGCCTTGTGTGGGAGGCAGATATAGTATAGTCTTTCTTAATAGAATTAACTTATGAGGAACATCTTTCTGAACTCATCATTGGATTTTGGCGTCTGGTCTTCCCTGTCCGGAGCTTCCTCGATAAGCAGACTGTGGCTGAGCCGCCAAGGTCGCATTATATACATCAGATGAATCTTTAGACTCAGATTCGCCAACTGTATTTGTTTGTCCATTTGTATGCCCCGACATTTCACCTTCCAAAGCGAAGAAGAATTAAAAGTGTGGTTGAAAGGGCAAGATGAACCACCATAACAAAGAAAAGAAGAAAACACCCAAAAATAAAATAACATATAGCTGAACAACAAGAGAAGACTCCGTTAAGAATGACAGGACCAATGAACACACTTATGAAATTTAACTTCCAATGGTATTAGTCACTTGTCAGCATCTGAAAATATGATAAACCATATGCATCAGAGGTAATCGATAGGTATACCTGATATGATCCCAACTAAAGTACATCTCATGATCAAACCAAAATACATGGGGAAAAAAACTTTGGTTGCTTTTCGGTATTTGTAAGAAAAATAAATGTTAAGGATATTTCCAATGAAAATCCTTTCAGATGTTAATCCTCTCTAATTTTAAGAAAGATGTATTCTAGTTTTTTTTTTGGGGGGGTACAAGAAAATCCAGAAAATCCTCACATCCTCCCGTAGGTCCGAGGTAGTGCCCGTGTCGAGATTACCAAGGTGTCCTGTTGTTCGTTCCGGACTATAGATTATAACCTGGGAGTTTACACCGACCTCTCAATACAAGCTCTGCTTAAGTCAAGGCTTATGCAATGGGGGAGAATCGAATCCACGCCAAGTGCTATGTTGGTAGCAACTTGAGGCCCCCTCTCCTAACCAACTGCGTTGCGCCCACTGGGTTGTACTCTATAGTATTATTATACTCTTTTTTCCAAAAAATTTGGAAGGCACGCAGAAACTTGCTACTAGAGGCAAAAATCTAAAAACCCAAAATCAATCAATCATTAAATGTAAATGAAGGTACCACATAACTCAGCAGTTTGTATATGTTCCCAATTATTTCTTTTCCGTTCTTAATTCTTTTTTTTTTTCTACAGTTACCTTTTTCTCTTTTTATTTATTTTATTTTCCTCATTCACCATTTTTTATATTATCTACAGTTTACCTTTGACTGCCATTTCATATTTTGCTTACATTTCTTTGTTTCTGAATTTGCTGAGATATTTGAATGTTGATATAGTACACAATAAAATTCTAGGATTTGATTTAGGATGACACTCACGATTAGACAACAATGCCTATAATTCAATCGTCGCCTTTAAAAACTCTTAACCTAAATTTGAGAATAAAACATGTTCATCATTGGTTTGTATGACCAAAGGGAGAACCTTTGTAAGAAAAACTACAAAAAAAAAAAAAAAATGGAGATGAAAGACAATGTGATAGCCAAAACAGACATGAGTAAGCTTTCTGGAACTTTAGACTTGATAATAAATTGCAATAATTAGCATATCTAACGGATTTCTTTAATACAAAACATAATTCGTTAGGTCCAACAGTATAGAGTAGGACCATCTCTCACCAATAGGCACTTCAGAAAATTAATTATACAATTTCAAATCTAAGTCAGATTTCTTACTAAAGAAGCAAAATAAAACTAACTTCTTGTCTAGGAAACCTTCATTATATGGCGCCTACCCTATAGAATGGCATGTATTACACACTATTATATTCTAAATCCACTAGTTGAAGGATTGAGAGACTGAACATGATTGGAATTATGAGATTGCCTTGCTACTTGACATGAGCAGGTTGAGAAATGGTTTTGGCTACATATAATCATAGCTCTTTCTCATTTTGATTGTTTCGAATATTCCCATTTTACTTTTCTTTTTTTTTCCCCCTCAAATTTTTAAAACATATACAGCAAATAGTTTTCAATCTTCCATATGCACATGCCTCAACCCTGCTAAAAAATTTCTTCCTAACCCAATTGTTTGGCAAGCAATGTGCATAGGCACACGGCAACACTGAGTGGAGGAGAGAACATTTATTAAAAGAAAATAAAAGGAAGAATAAAAGACAAGCATACCATGTTCCATTGGGGTGTTACGTCCAACAGATTCTCTCATTCTCCGCTGCTTCTGATCTGACCGTGCAATACTCAATTTCTTATCGGGAAACATTCGCTTGTTCTTTGCCATAGCTGCACTGCAGTAAGGTGTACATCATCGGAGAAATCCACATAAGCCAATCCCTACAGAATTGAGAAAACAAGATTAGAACTAATTTGAATGCATTAAACTACTACTCCTTCAAAATTAATATTCACATAAAGATGCACGGAATTCAGAACTTTGCCACAAAACACGAGTATGGTGACCTTTTTTTGCCTTTTTCATCACAAGGATTACTACTATTTGTACAGTTCATTACCTGATCTGACCACAGTACCAGTGGTATTATAAAATTGACAAAATCATCAATATTACAGCTCACTCAGACATACAAAACATGAATCATGCAGAGACTAAACCCTCTATGATAACAATTAATGCCATATTTCAAAAATAAAATATTAAATGAAAAATAAAATCTTTTGCTGGATAACCAATATGACTGGATTTCATTAACCAGCATCCAACTCAAAATTGGATGTCATTTCACACCCATGGCCAAACAAGGAATTAAAAACTTCAGATCAACTATTCCAACCAACAAAAAGAACCTGGTTTAATTCATTTGGAGCAGGACTTCCAGGATAACATAAAGAACCAGGCTGCACATCTAAGATAATGCTTGTATTTAATGCTTTGCGGAACGATAGCAGTACTGTGAGATGGGACTTATAGTATGGTAGCAAATAAAGGCATTAAACCAAGACAAGGGTGTAGAATGAAGGTGATAAGGAGTGCCTACAAATGCTTCATGTGTGCTTTACCGAAAGTGTAGACAAATAACAATGGAGAGGAAGGTGGATGAGCATAAACAAAAGAAAAGAAATGCATCTTTGCAAAAACAGTTACGAAGTAAAATTAAAATTTCCAGTTTTTTAATTAATTGACTTTTTAAGGAGTGACTTGAAACCTCAATGCCCTTGAACTAACCCCCAACAACTCCCAAGTAAAGGACACTGAAAAGACTAGAGAACATTACCAGTTACCTGCTAAAATAAGAGGAACATTTGAAGTGCCAAAACAGTTACACTAGTAACTCCTACTAGGTCAGAGTTCCTGATGTGTAGTGTGTTCACCAACCAGTCAGAACACAGGATAATAGAGCTTTTTTTTTAGTTAGCCTTTCAGAAGAGAAGTGCCAAGCACAGGGGGGCTTTAAGCTGAGAACCAGCTATGTAACCAATCTAGCGCCGAGGCCAATGCAACCTTGTAGATGGACTCATCTCCACTGTAACCTCTCCCTGCAATTCTATCCCCAAAGCCCTAGTCCATTCTAGGGCCTAGGGCATTGCAGCAAATAATTTGGAAAGTTAAAATCTTATTTTGGAGGTGATCGGAGGATCTGGTTCAATCAAAAGAGAAGACCATTCATCGACAGATAGATGATTTGGCAACTAGTTCAGGCTTAGGGAAATGCTGTGGCTGTTGGAGCTCCTGTATACGAGTAGGTACTAATGGTATGTGGACATGTAGAACAATAGTTGTAGAGGAGCATACTAAGCGCAGAAGTACAATTGCAGACGTGCAACAGTGCAAGGGTACGCTAGAGTGTCGTACAGAGGCGCGAGAAGAGTGTGCAGCAGCGGGTTGTTGACAGTTCACAGGAATTTCCAGACAGAGAAATTGAGACAGGTAAAACGCAAGAGTGCGTGCCAAGGAGTGGCAAGTCTTATTTTTCTATGGTGGTTTCTTTAGTTCCATGGCAGCAGATGATAGAGTTGATGTAGATCTCTCAAGCAAGCTTGACGCAGGGAGACCAGAAGCCATGGGTGCGAGCACTATGCACGGAGTTGCATAGTGGTAACTTGTACAGACCGGTGGAAGTTGTCTTGACAGAAGGGCTAACTGTCAAACATCAGTACGGACAAGTGAGACAGAACCGAACATCAGGGATTGCAGCACAGACAACAAGCGTATGTGGAAACGCTAGGAGGTTGTTCAGAAGTGCAGAAGGGCAAAGGCTGGTTGTTCAGAAATAAGCTCCGAGCAAGGAAAATTGAGGATGTTGATGTGTCAAACTCTGAATTTTTCTAGTTGCTCCCGTGTTCATCATGCAAGGAGTTGCACGGTAATGCAAGGGTATCCCGAGCAGGGGGTACAGGGCATCCAATCAGGGGGTGCTTGATACCTTGGCAGCAGGTTTTGTTGTGGATCACCTCACATGGGCTGAGGGGGTGATTTGTGGGATATCATCACCCCCATGTGAAGGGGACACTTCTCCATGTGCTGCAACTTCTTCCAACCTACAAAGTCACAAAGATGAGTTGGCAATGTGCAAAGCCAACACACATAAGCTGCCATGTTAAGAAGCCTTTAGCCATGTGAAGAAGGAGTTGGCACAAGCTGGCCAGCCCCTCTATCTCCATTCTGTTAGTGTATAAATGGAGGCTGAGGGGAGGGTTTGAGAGATAGAGGAGAACAAGAGAGAGAGAGCAGAGCAAGCCACAGAAAGTGTGATATCTGAGGCGGAGAAACCGTCTTCCTCGGTGTGAGCAAGGGAGACGGGTGAGTGGGTGATTGAGGAGAGTGTGAGCTCCTCCTCTATTGTAATCTTTCTGTAATATCTTCAATGTTATAGTGATAACAGGCTACCGTCTTCCTCGGTGTGAGCAAGGGAGACGGGTGAGTGGGTGATTGAGGAGAGTGTGAGCTCCTCCTCTATCGTAATCTTTCTGTAATATCTCCAATGTTATAGTGATAACAGGCTACTCTCCCGTGGACGTCGGCATTGAGGTCGAACCACGTTAAATATTGTGTCTCCTTGAGTGTGGGTGTGTTTTTCTGCATGGAATAATTTCTATAAGGTCTTAGGCGGGATCCCAGATCCCAACAGATCCCACCACTCTGGATATCCCACAAGTTAATGATTTCTATAAGGTCTTGGGCGGGATCCCAGATCCCAACAAGTGGTATCAGAGCCTCGTCGGTGGCGTTTCGGAACAAAAACAGCGTGTTATTTGAAACTGCCCAGAAATCAAGTTGCTCGAAATCAGGTTTTGAGCATACCAGGAGCAAGGGCTCGACGAGAGGAGTCCAGAAATATAAAGCAGACACCCAACGGAGGCCGGACGCGCCCTCACGCGCCTCTGGAAGTTGGTGCGTGAGTCCCAGTCTCGTCACGCGCCAACACGCGCCATGCAGGCACCGGCGCGTGGTCCCAGTCTCCCCCACGCGCCCCACGCGCGGACAAAGGAAGAAGACGAGTGGGCAGGGAGCGCGTGTCATCCACGCGCCTGGAACACACGCAGGCCGCGTCAGCGTGCCACGTCGTCAACACGTGGCGACACGTCAGCAAAGGTTTGCCACGTGTTTGCCTCGTCAACCAGAGGCAGGGAAGGATCCAGTGCTTTGCGGCGAAGGTACAGCCGCAGATCTGAGGCGTACAAAATATTTTGGCTAGATTGAAGCCATTTGGAGTTCGTTTTTGGTGATCCAATAGTGATTTCCGACTATTTGGAGTATTTCAGACACATCCGTACGTTCAGATTTTGCAAATAAGTTTTCAAAAATTTGCAATTTTTATTTTGGCAATCCGAAGAACTTTTCCGGCTAATTTGAGCAGTCTAGATTCCGGACACATCCGTACGGTCAGATTTTGGAGACGGAGTTTCTGTAAAAGGAAGGCAGATTAAAGTGGCAGACGGCGTCAGGGGCAGTGGACAGAATATTCTGTTAGAACACGGAATATTCCCTGAACTTTTGAAAATTGCAATTTGGCCCAACATTTTCAGAAAATTGTGGTGTGGCCCAGCTTTCGGGGATAGTTTTCAGTGAGGTCCCCGGAAATGCAGCGAAGGTTGGTCCTAGCTAAACGGACCGCTCTGGACGCAACCGTAAGGTCAGAATAGTGGAATTTTGAACGGTTTGGAAAGATTGTCAAAAACATGGGAGTTTGTCATCTTCAATACTCGAAAGAAGGTTGCCGGATATTGTGGAATGTTGCGGATTCACTGATGCCCAAGAGACAGACGCCTATGCCCTATGGATGAAATTGGAGGGCATGTACTAGTCCAAGACCGCACGGAACAAAGCCTTGATCATGAGAAGGCTTATAAACCTGAAGCTGAAGAATGGTGTGTCTGTTGCTGAACACACCAGTGAATTCCACAGCCTTGTGAACCAGTTTGCATCAATCAAAATGGAGTTGGAGGATGAGATGCAAGCATTATTATTACTCAGTTCCTTACCAGACAGCTGGGAGACGTTGGTGGTTTCTCTCAGTAATTCTGCACCCGAAGGGAAGCTGACCATGGGGATGGTCACAGACGCCTTATTCAACGAGGAGGCAAGGAAGAAAGAGATGGAAGGAGAGCAGTCCCATGCCCTTGTCACAGAAAGTAGAGGCAGAGATAGAGAAAGGGGCAGAGGTAGAGGAAGAAGTAAAAGCAGAGGGCGTTCACAGTCCAGACAGGACAACACAAGGAGGTGTTTTTACTGTGATCAAGAGGATCACGTAATAAGAGATTGCCCAGAGAAAAAGGCGGACAAACAAGCCAAAGAGAAGGCTAAGGGACACGGAGGTCCCTCAACTACAGCAGTTGCAGTGCATTCCTCTGACGATGAAGAGAGACTGAACCGAACATCAGGGATTGCAGCACAGACAACGGGCGTATGAGATCGCTGGGAAGTTGTTCTGAAGTGCAGAATGCAAAGGCTGGTTGTTCAGAAATAAGCTCCGAGCAAGGAAAATTGAGGATGTTGATGTGTCACACTCTGAAGTTTTCTAGTTGCTCCCGTGTTCATCATGCAAGGAGTTGCACGGTAATGCAAGGGTATCCCGAGCAGGGGGTACAGGGCATCCAATCAGGGGGAGCTGTGTCTTGGCAGTTCAAGTGAAAAGTCAGTTGTCCATGTGGGCGTGGAGGGGGAGAATTGTTGGCTCCATCCACTACCCACATGGTAAAGAGCCCACCATCCACATAGTGTGGGTGGCACTAGGTGGTAAAAGAAGGTGGTGGAGGGCAACACTAACTCACTAATGGAAGATAGTGGGGGTGGCACCACCTTGGCCAATTATGGCTAGCACTTCACCTACTCCTCCTCTCTTGGTTATAAATTGAGATGAGTGAGGAGGGGTTTGTATCATCAGAAATTGAGAGTGAGAGCTGTGAGTTGAGTGAGTTTCATCTCCTCCTCTGTATTTGTATTTTTGCTCCATTTTAGTGATAATTCTCATTTCTGTCCGTGGATGTAGGCATTGGGCCAAACCACGTAAATATTGTGTTCTCTGTGTGTGTGAGATAATTCTCGGGGTGTCTTTGATCCTAACATGAACACACTTATGAAATTTAACTTCCAATGGTATTAGTCACTTGCCAGCATCTGAAAATATGATATACCACATGCGTCAGAGGTAATCGATAGGTATACCTGATATGATCCCAACTAAAGTACATCTCATGATCAAACCAAAATACATGGGGCAAAAAACTTTGGTTGCTTTTCGGTATTTGTAAGAAAAATAAATTTTAAGGATATTTCTAATGAAAATCCTTTCAGATGTTAATCCTCTCTAATTTTAAGAAAGATGTATTATAGTTTTTTTTTTGGGGGGGTACAAGAAAATCCAGAAAATCCACACATCCTCCGGTAGGTCCGAGGTAGTGCCCGTGTCGAGATTATCAAGGTGTTCTGTTGTTCGTTCCGGACTACAGATTATAACCTGGGAGCTTTCTGCTTAAGTCAAGGCTTACACAGTGGGGGAGAATCGAACCCACGCCGAGTGCTATGTTGGTAGCAACTTAAGGCGCCCTCTCCTAACCAACTACGTTGCGCCCAGGGGTTGTACTCTATAGTATTATCATACTCTTTTTCCAGAAAATTTGGAAGGCACGCAGAAACTTGCTACTGGAGGCAAAAATCTTAAAACCCAAAATCAATCAATCATTAAATGTAAATGAAGGTCCCACATAACTCAGCAGTTTGTATATGTTCCCAATTATTTCTTTTCCGTTCTTAATTCTTTTCTTTTTCTACAGTTACCTTTTTCTCTTTTTATTTATTTTATTTTCCTCATTCACCATTTTTTATATTATCTACAGTTTACCTTTGACTGCCATTTCATATTTTGCTTACATTTCTTTGTTTCTGAATTTGCTGAGTGACCAATGAGGCTCTCCCTCATTGGTGTATAAATAGAGGTTGAGGGGAGAGTTGAAATGGACAGAGAGAGAGTGAGAACCAAGAGAGATCAGAAATTGAGTGTGAGAGCTGTGAGTTGAGTGAGTTTCATCTCCTCCTCTGTATTTGTATTTTTGCTCCATTTTAGTGATAATTCTCATTTCTGTCCGTGGATGTAGGCATTGGGCCGAACCACGTAAATATTGTGTTCTTTGTGTGTGTGAGATAATTCTCTGGGTGTCTTTGATCCTAACAACCTAGTCAAAACTGAACGGTCCAATACGGCGAACGGAGACCGGCGATTGGCGAGCGAGCGGCGAACAACGAACGAAAATCTGGGATTCGAGGGTTCGAAAATCTCAGAATCAAATACAGCGCTCACTGCAACTGGTGCAAAGATGAACCCAGAACCAAAGGTCAAATACGGCGAACGACCGGCAATTGGCAACCGGCGAACGACCGACGAACGGCGACAGGTGACGAAAATCTTAGGTTCGAGGGTTCAAAAATCTCAGATTTGTTTTAAAATTATATGTATGTATATGTGTATATATATAAATTAGGTTTTAGGGTTTAATCTTTTCCCCTTTACGATTTATCTCTCTAAAAAGTAGGATTCCAAAGATTAATTTTGTTAAAATTTTCTTTCAGGCTCAGGTTTAGGTTCTGATTCCAAAATTCGTTATCCAAAGTCTAACCCTGTTATGGAAAGGTTTCTTTCTTGTTTCTTCTTTCCTTTTTTAAAATTTTTCCCATTCCCAATCAAAAGAGGAAACACAGAATACTAAACCAGCCTAGGCTAGGACTATCACGTTTCAAGTCTCACCAGACTCTACTCTATATATATGAGACTAGACAACATGCTTTGCCTTGGATCAAAATAGGGCCTCAAGTATAGTATTAGAAATTCAAAAGGTCCAATCTAACATTAAGCCCCATTCTCAAGGGCCTAAAGTCAGAGCAGTTGGCAGCCAATCAGCGACGACAACAAGCAGCAAAGAGCCACGTCCAGTGAGTTCTCTCTCTCCCTCTCTCTCTCTCTCTCTATCAGATTTTAATGGAAGAATAGTTGCCCTATTTGATGTGCCCTAAGGTTGATTTTGAATTTATGTGAATTTTTTATTATATAATCATACTTCATAGGAAGTATAGTTTCGGATATGAAAAACAAAAGTAAGAGGTTGTGTGGGATGATCTAAATAAGTGTATTTTTTGACTTTTTATGAAATAGGGGTTGTGTTTGGGTTGGGTTTGAAGTAATGTGTTAGAGAGGTGATATGACTTAAATAAAATGATGTGACTTAAATATGATAGTGATTTAAATAGGATAGTGACTTTTTAACTTTTTGTTTTTTTCAAGACAAACTAAAAAAAAAAAATGTCCATTCTCTGTGCATTGTTGTTGTAAAATTGTTGTCAAATAGGATACGTACCATGTATCTTATTGGTAAACATAGTTCTAAAAACTAAATATCTTGTTAGAATAAAAAACAAAATAATTGATAATTCTATAAATTGTAGAAGCAAAGTTCTTAAATTAAATATATGCATGCATCAATACATATTGTCTTCGTAAGGAATAAATTAATAACGCTAGATACTTAATACAGTAAAATAGATATGTCAAGAAGGTTGAGAAATAAAATAAAAGTACTATTCTCATCTCAAAAATACTTTTTTTAATAAGCAAATGAAATTTTTTGACATTAAATGTTTTTTTGAGTCACATCGCATCTCTAATTTTTTTACACGTTTTTTCAAAAAAAAAAAAAAAAAACCTAAAAAATTAACTTTTAACCTACTTTCCAAAATAGGCCTAACTATAATTTCAATCAACATACCTATTCCTTACTAGTAGTTTCAATGGTAGTGTGATTCTTATCTAGCTGTGATATTTGTGCATAGAACTTTTTTTTTACTCCCATTTTTTCTTTAATTTTGGGAATGATTTTAACTTCACACTAGAAACCTCCTCGTCCACAATGGTTTCATTGACCCATTAATCTTCAAAATAAGGTCTTACTAACAAGTGTTCTTAGAGTACAGGTAAAGACAAAATATTTGTTGAACACAATATATTTTTCACTAATTTAAATGTATTTTTATTAAAATCAACACACTTTTCAATATTTTTTATATATTTTCAACAAAAGTTTTACACACTTCCTAACATTAAACAATGCCTATGGAACATTTGTTATCCTTTGTCTTCAAATAACAATATTTCATTAATATTAAACATTGATACAAAATTTGCATTTACTCCGTTTAAAACATTCAACCCAACGGTTCAATGAAAAATAAAAGATCCCATAGATTAAAATAAATAAAGGCAATGAAGTCTCACAGTCTCTCTTGAATTGCCATCACAATCGAATCACTTGAATAATTTTATATAACAAATTTCATATATACTATTAGTTTTTTCCTGTGAATTTGATTGAAAGTTGGATTTGTGATAAATTTTAGGGCAAAATTCATTTTACTCCCTTATGATTTGAGTTCGGAACATTTCACCTCCTTATGGTTCAAATATATGCAAAGAGACAAGTTGTTTGACAACTTTCAATTTTAGCTAAAAAGCCAATAAGTCACTATTCGTTGTCATATCAATTTCTTTATTTTTTTTGCACATTTTTTGATAAAAAGCCAAAAAATTATTAAAATAGCCTATTACATTTTTCATCTGAATTGACAAATGATGTAACACACTTGCCAATTTTGAGAGAGGTCATCTTTTTTTCATGAAATTAAAGTGAAATAAAAATACAAGAAGTCATTATTACCCTATACGTTATAAAGGCCTTCTGGTTGCAGCATAAAAATCTAAACTTGATGTTTCAATGTTTGGTAACTGTTGATGTTCAAACCTTAATTTATTTAACAAGCATGCTATGCTTTAATATCTTTCAAACATTAACTTTCTGTCCAGTTGAACTTATTAACCAATTTGATAAATGATATGACAATTCAGATACAAACATTTAAATTTTTACATATTTCCATTGATGATTACTTCTATATGTATATATAATATGCTAGCAGGGTTATACCTAGTTGAAAGTGTTGGAAGTGCTTTTCGAGTTAGATAATAAATTTTTATGGTTGCTTCTGTTATTGGCAGGAAGCTAAGAGGAGCTCATTTAAGAAATTTAAATAAATTTTAGTATCGGTGCCTAGATAGATGCCAATGGCAGTAACAAGATCTCATCTTTCACTTCCTCCACCACCTCTACCATGTCCTTGGCTTGTCTTCAATCATGGAGAGCATGGAAAGTACTCCACTCAAACCTTCTTTAACACATCACAAGATACCTATGTTGTGGGAAGAATACCAGAGTTATGCGACAAAATAATTTTTACATGTTCTTATGGATGGCTAGTGTTGCTTGATTTTGAATCCGATGATTGTTTCTTGTTGAATCCAGTTTCCATGCAGAAGATTGTGCTTCCACCATTGCAATCCTATCCATTCCTCTGTTGCATTCTATCATCACCGCCAACCGATCCCAACTGTGTACTCATTTTTGTCTGTCGAAAAAAACCAAGTGCCATGTTTTGTCGCCTGGGTGATGGTGAATGGACCGAACAACATTTAAGATCTACTGAATATTTCAGATATGCTACTGTATGCGAGGGAAAGATTTATGGCCTTACTTTAGACAGAAGTCTGCTTATGGTAGATGTTGTTGGCTCTAATTTGGTTGTGACACAGTTGGGGGCAGAAAACCCACCAAGACCGTCAGTTCGAGGGACATCAAGGTCAGATTATAATTTAGTTGATTCTTGTGGAGAGTTGTTTCTTGTAATCAAGTCTTACCAAGGGATGACTATGAAGATCAGGGATGTAGAAGTTCACAAAATGGATTTTTCAAGATTGGTATGGACAAAGGTGGACAGCTTAGGAGATCGAACATTCTTTCTCAGTATAATGGGCAATTGTTTCTCTTGTTCTGCAGCTGAATCAGGGATCAAACACAATTCTATTTACTATCTTGAAAGTAGCGACAGAGAGCTATATGTATTTGATCTTGAAAATTATAGCATCTCATTCTCTACGCCTTGCCCTCTTCAAAGTAATTGGCTGCAACCTGAATGGATTATGCCTATTTTATAAGCCCAGCAACAGATAATTTTGTTTATATATGTATTTTTCTTCTTTTTCATCATATTGTACTTTGTTTTATTAATTATCATACTTTCTCATTTCATGTTTGCTGCTTATCATTATTCAAATTTCTTTACCAACCCGGTGTGCCAATTCTTACTTGGCACACCAACAGTAATAATTGTCTCCAAAATTCTGCTCCACCCCATACTTCGAAAGCTGACTTGGATTTGAAGGGATGTTGTTTGCATGCTCGTACTTGATGATTTTTTTTTTTTTTTTAATAAAAATAAAATAAAACAATGAAGTAGCAATGGTCAAATATTTACATTTTACCAGTAAAGTCATTTGGCATATCGGGTGAAAAGTAAGAATGTCAAATTGGCAAATGTTAATTTGTTATCCAAGCCTTCATAAAAAATTGGCATACCCAAATTTGAAGGTTTGGGTGGAGATGTTCTTACGCATCAAAAGAGTATTTTAAATGTAATGAATTTACTACACTACTGTTATAGTTATAGAGGATGAGTTTTTTTTTTTTTTAAATTGATTTAGGCCTCGTTTGAGAACAGGTTAATTTAGTAACTTTTTGGTTATTTGGCTAAAATATGAGTTAAAAAAAAATTAGTATGTTTGAGATGACTTTTTAACTTTTTACCAAAAAAAAAGTGGAAAAAGTAGAGAGAAAAGAGAATCTTTAACTTTTTGATATGAGCTGTTGGCTTTTTGATTTTTTTAGTAACTTTTTGACTAAACCGGCCTGTTGCTAAATGAGGCCTGAATAAATGGGGGGTTGGTGTGAAACCATAATAAAGCAAGCCTTCGTTTGGGATATATGTTGAATTTTTAACTATTTTTGACAAGTGATTTTTTTAGTCAAAAAGTCAAAATATCAGTAAAAAACTAAAAAGTCAATAACCTATGCCAAAAAATCAAAGATTTCTCTTTCTCTTTACTTTTTGCACATCTTTTTGTAAAAAATTAAAAAGTCATCACAAACATACTATTTTTTTAACATCATATTTTAGCCAAAAGTCATACACAAAAAATTTGTTCCCAAACGAGACTGCCTGAGACTAAAAAGTCTCGTTTGAGATGAATTTTTTTAATTTTTTAAATTTTTATAAAAAAAAAATAATTATAATTTAGACATGACATATTATCATATTGGCTAAAAAGTCTCATGATGTACACAAGGTCCTAAATCATACTGAGAGCATGATCATAGGCTTTTGTGGTTTGCAAAAGAAAACCGAGTTCACTTTAAAGGTCATGCATGATCACAGGCTTTTTGTTTTTTTTTTTTCATTCTTGCAATACCAGCCCCAGTCATGCATTTGTTCTATATGGCAAGGTTTGGTTATGGTGTGCAACTTACACCTTACACTTTATACCTTACACTTACACCTTTTGTAAAAAATTAAACCTTACACTTACACCTTTTTTGAGGTTGCACACTATGTGCAACCCACTTACACCTTACACCTTATACTTATACTTACACCTTACACTTACACTTTTTGTGTAAGTGGCACATGGTGTGCACTTGCACACTTAAGAAAACTCCATATGGGCAATAGTTATACACAAATCTTACAAAGAGCTAGAACACAACAATTACAATATTTAAGAGAGGTGTTAGGGAAATTATTATTTTTCTTTATTCCTCTCTTTTCGAGCAAGCTCTTTTGGTTTATGGAGAGGGAAATAAAAAATAAATAAATAAGAAAATTACTTAACAGTGGGAAGTTGGGAAAAGAGGCAAAAATCTAAAAACCCAAAATCAATCAATCAACCATTAATGTAAATGAAGGTACCACATAACTCAGCAGTTTGTATATGTTCCCAATTATTTCTTTTCTGTTCTAAATTCTTTTCTTTTTCTACAGTTAACTTTTTTCTCTTTTTATTTATTTTATTTTCCTCATTCACCATTTTTTATATTATCTACAGTTACCTTTGACTGTCATTTCATATTTTGCTTACATTTCTTTGTTTCTGAATTTGCTGAGATATTTAAATGTTGATATGGTATACGATAAAATTTTAGGATTTGATTTAGGATAACACTCATGATTCAACAATGCCTATAATTCAATTGTTAAATTTGAGAATAAAACATTCATCATTGGCTTATATGACCAAAGGGAGAACCTTTGCAAGAAAAACTACAAAAAAATGGAGACGAAAGACAATGTGATAGCAAATACAGACATGAGTAAGCTTTCTGGAACTTTAAACTTGATAATAAATTGCAATGATTAGCATATCTAACGGACTTCTTTAATACAAAACATAATTTGTTAGGTGCAACAGTATAGAGTAATATTAGGACTATCTTTCACCAATAGGCACTTAAGAAAATTAATTAAACAATTTCAAATCTAAGTCAGATTTCTTAATAAAGAAGCCAAATAAACTAACTTCTTGTCTAGGAAACCTTCATTATATGGTGCCTACCCCATAGAATGGCATGTATTACACACAATATTATATTCTAAATCCACTAATTGAAGGATTGAGAGACTGAACACGATTGGAATTATGAGATTGCCTTGCTACTTGACATGAGCAGGTTGGGAAATGGTTTTGGCTACATATAATCATAGCTCTTTCTCATTTTGATTGTTTCGAATATTCCCATTTTACTTTTCTTTTTTTTTTCCCCCTCAAATTTTTAAAACATATACAGCAAATAGTTTTCAATCTTCCATATGCACATGCCTCAACCCTGCTAAAAAATTTCTTCCTAACCCAATTGTTTGGCAAGCAATGTGCATAGGCACACGGCAACACTGAGTGGAGGAGAGAACATTTATTAAAAGAAAATAAAAGGAAGAATAAAAGACAAGCATACCATGTTCCATTGGGGTGTTACGTCCAACAGATTCTCTCATTCTCCGCTGCTTCGGATCTGACCGTGCAATACTCAATTTCTTATTGAGAAACATTTGCTTGTTCTTTGCCAGAGCTGCAGTAAGGTGTACATCATCGGAGAAATCAACATAAGCCAATCCCTACAGAATTGAGAAAACAAGATTAGAACTAATTTGAATGCATTAAACTACTACTCCTTCAAAATTAATATTCACATAAAGATGCACGGAATTCAGAACTTTGCCACAAAACACGAGTATGGTGACCTTTTTTTGACTTTTTCATCACAAGGATTAACCACAGTACCAGTGGTATTATAAAATTGGCAAAATCATCAATATGACATCTCACTCAGACATGCAAAACATGAATCATGCAGAGACTAAACCCTCTATGATAACAATTAATGCCATATTTCAAAAATAAAATATTAAATGAAAAATAAATTTTTTTGCTGGATAACCAATATGCCTGGATTTCATTAACCAGCATCCAACTGAAAATTGGATGTCATTCTCACCCGTGGCCAAACAAGGAATTAAAAACTTCAGATCAACTATTCCAACTAACAGAAAGAACCTGGTTTAATTCATTTGGAGCAGGACTTCCAGGATAACATAAAGAACCAGGCTGCACATCTAAGATAATGCTTGTATTTAATGCTTTGCGGAACGATAGCAGTACTGTGAGATGGGACTTATAGTATGGTAGCAAATAAAGGCATTAAACCAAGACAAGGGTGTAGAATGAAGGTGATAAGGAGTGCCTACAAATGCTTCATGTGTGCTTTACAGAAAGTTTAGACAAATAACAATGGAGAGGAAGGTGGATGAGCATAAACAAAAGAAAAGAAATGCATCTTTGCAAAAACAGTTACGAAGTAAAATTAAAATTTCCAGTTTTTTAATTAATTGACTTTTTAAGGAGTGACTTGAAACCTCAATGCCCTTGAACTAACCCCCAACAACTCCCAAGTAAAGGACACTGAAAAGACTAGAGAACATTACCAGTTACCTGCCAAAATAAAAGGAACATTTGAAGTGCCAAAACAGTTACACTAGTAACTCCTACTAGGTCAGAGTTCCTGATGTGTAGTGTGTTCACCAACCAGTCAGAACACAGGATAATAGAGCTTTTTTTTTAGTTAGCCTTTCAGAAGAGAAGTGCCAAGCACAGGGGGGCTTTAAGCTGAGAACCAGCTATGTAACCAATCTAGGGTCGAGGCCAATGCAACCTTGTAGATGGACTCATCTCCGCTGCAACCTCTCCCTGCAATTCTATCCCCAAAGCCCTAGTCCATTCTAGGGCCTAGGGCATTGCAGCAAATAATTTGGAAAGTTAAAATCTTATTTTGAGTCCAAAAATCAGATCCACCAAAATTAATATATGCAAGATAACAAAACATGGATGAAGTATGCTCCTTTTAGAAACTCACAACTATAACTACAACATACACTGGATTGCATTTGTCAGCAGGCATCATTTTGCTGCATTTTGGCCATGGAAGAACCTCACAAAAACTGCATGCTCATTATGTCCCACACAAAAAATATTTGTCAAGACTCCTGTCTCTAATCTAAATCTCTGTTATGAGGTTTGAATATGAAACTACCAACTTGAAATATCAGAACAAATTGCTACTGATAGCGAACTTGGAGATTGCCAATTCTCTCATTTAACATTTGAGAATACACACAACACATGGATAGGGCAGAGGAAGACAAAATTAAGGCCTTTGGATGTATGTGTAGAGAGAGAGAGAGAAACTTGTACCCTTGATTTTCCAGTGTACTTGTCCTTCCTTTAATATGCGAATAGCAACTGCTCCACCCACATCACTGAAAAAAGCTCGTAGATCCTCGTAAATTGCCCGTACAAGTTATCATTAGATGAATTAATTATGATATAAACGACAATTGATTCTCATGATCATTTGTGCATGTGGGTGCATAAGAGTGTGCGGCTCAAAAGAAAAAGAATTGGTAGCAAACAACTTGCCTGAAGGCTAAGGTTTGATACAAAGGCAGTGCATTGGTCATTGTATTTGGGCTTTTCAGGGACAAAATCTTTTTTTCCTTTTCCATGTGCATTACTATTTTTGCCTTCATGGACTTGGACATTTTCATCTTCATTTTTTTGAAGAGAGTTTTTCTCCTCAGCTTTATCCACTCCACGTGCTTTCGTTATGTTTGGATCTGTATCTTTTTTCCGTTTTGTTGTTCACTGTTCATCAGCTATGTTGGGTCCCTGCTTTCCCTTTTCACGTGCAATTTTCTTTGACGAGGTCTCTCTCTGATTTGCCATTGTGCCAATACTTTTCCTCTCCTGCTGCAACCTGAACATTTGCAGCTCTCCCAAACGGGGGGGTAACCTGTTAAGGAGCGAAAAATATTAGCATCAATAACTAGTTAACAGCTGTCATCCAAACTTACACTAAAACATCAAACAGAATTACTTAAGTTGAAATCTGTAAAGGTACTCCATGGTTTACTAATTTCTTTATAGGCAAGGAAGCAAAAAATCAGAACCAGTAAGAATGAGAAATGGCTTCAAAATAAAGCCTAGGTATGACACTATTAATTTGAGAGTCAAACCCTTAAACCAAGTTCAAATCATCAATATTGGATGTTAAAAGATGACATGAGAGTAAGGAAATGCAATGTTGCTGTACCAAGTCTTCAAAGAAACACAGGTTCATTTTTTTACCCCATTTGCTCAAGTGATCAAGCTGCATGTCCCCTGTCTCTCACCTTGTCACAGGCCTAAGTATGCACTAAAAATATAGTTTACGCAATACACAGAATAATCAGCAACAACAAAATACTTCCAACCGTAACTAGCACAGGCCAGGCTTGATCAGTAATTCAATTGAAATAGTATAGAAAGGCAAGGTTAGAAGTCAAACAACTTTTCCAAAGGCATGGCCAAAATATCAAAGTAAGCTTAAGCAGCTAAGCGGTTCTTATATATATAAACATATAATCATGTGCATGTGCTTTGAAGATAAATATGGACCGGTTGTTATCAAGTTTGTATGCTTCTGAAAGTGGTGAGGGATGGATTTTCATTCTGTTTCGGAAATTTGAATTTTGTACTTTGTTTGTCTAAAGATTTTGACATATATATATACATGAATGCCATTAAAGATATCCAAATGCTTCATTGTTTTTGTGAATGGAGACACTAGGTTTTAGAATGGATTGATTCTTACTTGTTTGTTTTCTCATAATATGAAGAAAAAAAAGAAAAAAAAAAAAAGATCAAAGTTTAAAAGATCAAAGTGAATTCTAAAATTAAAAAATTATAGTTTAAAGTGATAAAATTAAGAACTGTGGGTTTTATTTGTTAATGAAGCAAAACCTTAGGATTTTTTTTTTTTTTTGTGCGTGTATTTTTCCCTGATATTTTTTTTGAAAATTGTTTGAGACCACTAAAACAATGAACTCTAATAGCTCTAAAAACACTGTGCCCCTAATTGATTTGATGTTTTGCTCTTTGTTTTTTTTATTTTTTTTATTTTTCTGGACTGCCAGCTCATTAGAGCTGACTTAGTGGTCCATTTTTAGTGGGATCTATCACCACTGATTTTTTTTTTTGGTGATCCTGTATTCAATAAAGTAATTAAAGTTGGTTGCTTTAAGACCATCTAAAACAAAATTGCAACTATAATGATACATAATATAGGCATTTTGGAAATTATAAGTTGCCTTGATGGGTTTTTTGTTTGAAATGGTGAGATCTAAAGTCGTGTTTTAATTTAACCAAAAAATGTAATTATAAAATACCATGCATTAATGCTTCAAAAAGCAAATACATCTATATTGTCTTTTTTTTTTCTTTTTTTTTTGGCAATGTTAATTGACATAGAGCACATAAAAAGGTCACACATACCAAACAATAAAAATATATCAAGCTCTTAAACATTACATTTATTTTATTTATGTTTTTGGCGGAAATCTTGAACACGAGCTCATTTTTAATATTTTTATCCATTATTACAGATTTTCGAGGAGGAAAGAATCAGAGGTTCGAATCTTATCTTGCTAGCAGACTTTAGATAACGATAAATTAGATTACAAATTAATTTGTATTTTATAATTTGATCATGACATTAATTAAGATTTCTATATTACTATTTTCTTAAAAAGGTCCAACCTGAAAATGCTTTGGTCTATGACCGTGACTATAAAATTAGATAAAGTAGACTAACTCCAATCTTAAAATGCTTTCGTCCGTGGTCATGATTATGAAATTAAATAAAATAGCCTAACAATTTATATTCACAGTATCAATTTATACATTTTGACTCCAGTAACTTTTAAACAGGCATATGATTTTCATGTACAATTAAATATTTAAATAAATAATCAAATGAATTTATGTCATGTATACACATTTTGTACACGCTTTATCACCTACATATGTTGTTGCTTCATCTCGTCATCTTGACATTAAAAATTTGTTGCAAAAAATAATGAAATACAAATAAAAATTATATATAAAAAATATGCAATATAATAAATCTATCACGTTAAAACTAAAATAAAAAACTAATTAAGTTGTTCTTGTACCAAACCAAACCAAACCAAACCAAACCAAGCCTTAAGTCCCATCAAATGGGATCGGTTACATGAATCATTTTTCTCCACTCGGCCCTATCAAAGGCCATTTCATTAGTCAAATTAAGTAGATTCATATATCTATTTATAACGCTAGTCAACGTTAATCTAGGCCTACCCCGTCCCCTAACACTTCCATCTAACATTACAGCATCGCATCTCTTCACTACTGCCTCTGTTGGTCTCCGTTGAATATGACCAAACCATCTTAAACGATTCTCTCTCAACTTATCTTCTATCGGTGCTACTCCTACCCATTCCCGAATACACTCATTCCTAATCCTGTCCTGTCTAGTCTTACCACACATCCACCTTAGTATCCTCATCTCAGCCACACTCATCTTATCTACATGTTGTTTCTTAGTTGCCCAACACTCCGTCCCATACAACATATCTGGTCTAATAGCCGTTCTATAAAACTTACCTTTTAGTCTAGTGGGTATTCGTTTATCGCACAATACCCCATACGCACTTCTCCACTTACACCATCCCGCCTTAATCCTATGGGCCACATATGCATCAACCTCTCCCGTTGTTGTGATAATCGACCCTAAATAACGAAAATGTTCACTCTTAGGCAGTTCTTGGTTCTCAATCTTCATTTCTCCTCTGCTTTCATTGTTATTGTTACTAAATTTACTCTCCATGTACTCTGTCTTAGTTCTGCTTATCCGAAATCCTTTAGATTCAAGAGCTTTTCTCCAAAACTCTAACTTTGTGTTAACTCCTTCTCTAGTCTCATCCACTAACACAATATCGTCTGCAAAAAGTATACACCATGGCACGTCATCCTGAATATTTATCGTCAACTCGTCCATAACTAAAGCAAAAAGATAAGGACTTAAGGTAGATCCTTGGTGTAACCCTACAGTGATAGGAAATTCATTTGTTTCTCCAGCTGGCGATCTAATAGTGGTCACCACCCCTTCATACATGTCCCTAATCACGTCAATGTAGCCTTTTGTCACCCCTTTCTTCTCTAACGCCCACCATATTATATCTCGGGGCACTCTGTCATATGCTTTCTCAAGGTCGATAAACACCATATGAATGTCTCTTTTCTTTTCTTTATACTTTTCTATTACTCTCCTTAAAAGATAGATCGCTTCCATTGTTGACCTACCAGGCATAAACTCAAATTGATTCTCTGACACCTCTGTTATGTCTCGTAATCGGCGTTCCATCACCCTCTCCCACACTTTCATTATATGACACATTAGCTTAATTCCTCTATAGTTGTTACAATTTTGGACATCACCTTTATTATTATAGATTGTCACTAAAATACTCTTCCTCCACTCATCTGGCATGTTCCTAGTCAACAAAATTTTGCTAAACAACCTATTCAACCAAGGAACTCCCTTTTTACCAAAACACTTCCAAGCTTCAATAGGGATGTCATCAGGTTCTAAAGCCTTATTTGATTTCATCTTCTTAAGTGCAATCTCCACTTCAAAGTTCCTAATCCTACGATAGAACCTATAGTCTTGATTTATCGTATTATTGATTATTTCTTCCCCTATTGTCGTACTTCCATGTTCCTCATTTAACAGTTTCTCAAAATAATTCTTCCATCTTTCCTTAATCTCATCATTCTTCACCAACACCTTAGAATCCTTACTCTTGATGCACTTTACTTGATTAAAATCTCTTGTTTTCCTCTCCCGTATCTTAGCAAGTTTGTATACCCTCTTCTCTCCCTCCTTACTATCTAGTCTAGTGTATAGGTATCATAAACTTTCAACTTAGTCTCTCTCACTACTTTCTTGACCTCCTTATTAGCCAATCTATAACTTTTAAGGTTTTTCTCAGTTCTCTCCTTCTGCCACTTTTTAAAGCACTCTTTTTTTGCCTTAACTACCGCTTGGACCTCTTCCCTCCACCACTAAGTTTCCCTAGAGCTGGGTCCCGTTCCTTTTCGACTCTCTAAGCACTTCCCTTGAGATTCTCCTCATACAATTGGCCATTGAATTCCACATAGTGTTAGCATCACCTTCTAAGTCCCAAATACTTTCCTTATCCATTCGATTCTTAAATATTTCTAGTTTATCCCCTTTTAAGTCCCACCATCTCGTCCTACGACGCCCACCATCCTTCCTAGCTTGGTATTGCCCTCTAAAACATAAATCTAGTACCAAAATCCTATGTTGAGAGACCAGACTCTCTCCAGGAATCACCTTACAATCATTGCATTTTAGACAGCCCACTTTTCTCACTAAGAAATTATCTATTTGGCTCTTAACTAATCCACTCTTAAAGGTTGTCAAATACTCCTCCCTCTTTTTATACATAGTATTGGCCACCACCAGGTCAGAAGCCAACACAAAATCTAAGATTCTCTCTCCAGCCTCATTTCTGTCACCAAAACCGTATACACCATGCACCATTTCATAACCTACTTTGTCTATGCCCACATGGCCATTAAAATCTCCACCTATAACCAGGTTCTCTTCTACGGGTATCTCCTGTAAGATCTCATCCATTTGCTCCCAAAAATCCCTCTTAGTCTGATCATCTAACCCTACTTGAGGGGCGTAAGCGCTAATAATGTTCACTATATTCCCTCCAATAACTAGTTTAACTAGCATAATCCTATCTCCTTTCCTAGTGACTGCCACCACACTTTCCACAAGACCCTTGGCAATTATGATTCCTACCTCATTCCTGCGTCTATCCTTACCACTATAATAAAGTTTAAAACCAGTATCCTCAATTTCCCTAGCTTTCTCTACCGTCCACTTAATTTCTTGTATGCAAGCTATACTAACTCTCCTCCTAATCATAACATCTATCAATTCTATCGTCCTACCAGTTAAGGTTCCTATATTCCAAGTGGCTATCCTAAACCTATAGTCTTCGACTAGCTTCTTTACCCGCGCTCGTCCAGAAAAACGCGAAAACCTTTGCCCATTTTTCACCGCACCCAGGCATCGATGCGGCGCCCTTTGCTCACTTTTCGAAACACCCGGAGGCAGGCGCAACGCGTCACTTGAGAGGAACGACCTAGTATTTAAACGATTCAAAGTAGGATTCATTTTCATAAGGGATCCGAGCGGCTTTTTTACGTGCTGGCTGTCGACTACCTAACACACAACCCTCCTCCTTAACCCGGGCTTGGGACCGGCGGAATTGTTAACAACCCCGACGGAGTTCTTGTAATAAAAAAAAAAATTATCATTAACACATCATTCTGATAAATTATTTTTATATAAAAAGTTCAAAAAATAATAATATTTTTCAGTTGCCACACCATGCCATGAAGAGGACTCTATTCTCAATCCCCCACTACGTAATAGATCAAACACAAAAGTGGAACTTCATTTTCACAAAAGTTCAATCATTTTGTGTCAAGCTCTAGAGGTCGATAAGTAAATACATATGGTTCAAAAAGATAAGTAAATAAATAAGATAAACAACATTTAGTACGAGTAAATTTGTTTATAAAAATTGCACACTTACCATAATCATGCTGATAAATTACTATGGATGAGTAAAAATACCTTTCAAATTAAATCAGGAATATTTCACTCCATTAATGTATTTTTTTAAAGGGTTGAGATTTGAATTTGAGATAATTTACAAGATTCGTATAGTTCATCATGGATTCATTTTGATAATGCAAACTATTGTAATGACGTTGGCACCTAAAATAATCGAAAAGGGGAATCAAAATCGGAATCTTGCAATATTTTTGAAGCAAAGTTGGTTTGCTTTCCCACGGAGAGCCACTTAAGTGTAGTAGTATAAAAATAAATGAATTAATTAGGGTAGTCCACTAATAATAATTTGTGTGTTTGGTTTCAGTTTTTTGGATTTAGTTTTTTGAAAATTGAGTTTTTTGCCTTTATTATTATTTTTTTTTGGTGAATATTTTTCAAATTTGAAATAATTTTTTTACTTTTTTAGATACACCTTACTTAAATGTATTTAAATAATAAAATATTTGTGAAAAAATATTTTAAAAATTAATAAATATACAAAAATATGAAAAATGTACTGAATTTTTGTAATTTTTGATATTTAGTGTATTTTTTAAAAAATAATTCACAAATATTATACTTTTTAAGTGTATTTATGATAGGTGTGTCTAAAAATCAAAAAAACTTTGCTTAAAATATTTTTAAAAATTCATTAAAAACATTAAAATAGGAAAAATAAAAAAAGAAAATTTTTTTAAATAGTTTTCTGAAAACCAGAACCTAACAAATATTAAAAAAATTCGGGGTTTAATTTTAAATTAGGTAAGATGTAGGGTGGAAATTGAAAAAAAAAAAGAAGGGTAAATTACACTGACACCCCCTGAGGTTTATGTTTATTACAATTTCCCCTCTCGCCTTTTGAAAATTACATCTCCCTCTGAGGTTTAAAGTTTTATTACAAATTTTCCCTCAGCAATTTAATTTTTTTAAATACCAACTTTGCCCTCACTGGGTTAATTACATTGACACCCCTCACATTTTAAAAATTACAATCCCCCCTAAGGTTTAAAGTAGTATTATCAATTGCCCCCTCGGTTAGTATTAGTTGAAAAAAAAAATTGTTAGTAAAATTTTTTAATTTTTGCTTAAAAACCAACATAAACTCATTTTTTAAACTTACGTTTTTTCCTCAAATTTACAAACTGAGACAACAATTTATAAACCAAAAAAATTATCAAACAAATTTTTATGACAGTTTTTAAAATTTTTGTAAAAATAAATTGAAACTGAAACAAAATAGTTACCAAACAGGCCTTAAATGGTAAAAATGTCGTAAAATTAATAAATAATTAAATAAGTTACCAACGCAAGAAATGACTAATCAAAAGATTCTTAGGTTATGTATGGTTTGATTTTTAGAAATTTTTTTTAAAAATTAAAAATTAATTTGGTTAAGAAATAAAAAATAAAAAATAATTATCATTTAAGGGTAAAAAATAATTATCATTTTAACTTTTGGGCAAGTTATATACATACGCATGACTGTTTCAATTTAATTTGTAAAAAATTATTTTTAACCACTCGAAAGATAAAAATAATATGAAAATGATAATTATTTTTTATTTTTTATTTCTTAACCAAATTAATTTTTAATTTTTTTAAAAAAAATTCTAAAAGTCAAACCATAAATAGCCTTAGATTTTTTGATAAGTCATTTCTTACGTTGGTAACTTATTTAATTATTTGTTAATTTTATGATATTTTTACTATCTGAAGTCTGTTTGGTAACCATTTCGTTTTCAGTTTTCAATTGATATTTACAAAAATTTAAAAAAGGTAACCATTTCGTTTTCAGTTTTCAATTGATATTTACAAAAATTTAAAAAAAACTATCATAAAAACTTATTTAATAATTTTTTTTGGTTTATGATTGTCTCAATTTATAAATTTGAGAAAAAAAACGTAAATTCAAAAAATGTTCTTACATTGGTTTTTAAACAGAAATTTAAAAATTTTACTAACAAAATTTTTTTTCAAATAATTTTTTTTTCAACTAATACTAACTGAGGGGGCAATGGTTAATGCTACTATAAATCTTAGGGAGGGGATTGTAATTTCTAAAATATAAGGGTTGTCAATATAATTTATCCAGTGAGGATAAAATTGGTATTTAAAAAAATTAAATTGTTAAAGTGAGAATTTATAATGAAACTTTAAACCTTTTAAAAGAGATGTAATTTCTAAAATGTATAGGGAAGTGTAATAAACATCAACGTCAGGTTGTGAGTGCAAAAAAAAAAAAAAAAAAGTTTTAATCATTTTCCAGCAGCAACGAGAGTAGCAGCGACCACTCGAACCTTTCTTAAAGTCTTCTTCTCCGATCCCCTTCGAATGTGAGCCGCAACAAGCAGCATCGACGCCGACCAAGCATCGACGTCCGGTGAGTCCTATCTCTCTATCTCTTTTTTAGCGCATTTTGATGGAAGAAACTTTGCCCTAATTTCTGTATTTGCTACTGCATCAATTGGTTTTAGGTTTTGGTTCATTGTATGCCTTAATTTTTTGAGATTTACGTGTAGGTCCTAATAGATATGTCCTAGGATAATTAATGGCGTTTTTCATCGAACACTAATTGTTAATTTTCAGTTAAAAATTTCATCACAAAAAATGTCATTAATTATAAGTTTTAGCGACATTTTAAAAAAATCGTCACAAAAAGCGTCCATAATTTTCAATTTTCAACTACAATTTGAAAAATTCGTCATAAAAAACATTAGTAATTGTAAATTTTAGCAACAATTTATAAAACCGTGACAAAAGAAAAAATCATTCCTTATTAATTTTTAGCGACATGCAAAAAATGTCACAAAAAATGATTTTTAGTGACAATTTTATTAGGACATAATTTTAATAGGATTTGATGATAATTAAAGTCAAACTATTAGAACATATTGATAATTTACTCAAATTTTTTGTCTAATTGGTTTTGGGTTTTGCTTTTTAGCTCTTGATAAGTCTTTTTGGTGGCAAGAGAGAAACAGAGATTTCCAGTTCAATTGATGAAGATTTGGTGATTGAAGAAATTGAATCTTCATCAATTGAACAAAGGGTTGATATAATAACATATAGATATAGGCTCAATTTTATTTGTGAAAAAATTGAACTAAGGGTTATGGAAACATGCATAGTGATTTGATGAATCGGTTTCTAGTTTCTAATTTACCTGCTTTGAATTGTCCTACTTTTAAGTGTTGTTGCATAGGTTCAAGTTTTGCCCTACTTCTAAGCATTTCATAGCTTCTAGTTAATTTCTGTTTAATTCGTATTGTTCTTGGTATTATAGATTTTGATTTTGTGACCAAATTTTTAATTTTTTTTTTTTCAGTTCTTGTATTGAATTTCTTCATATATTATAACTAGCCTAGAGGCACTATCTAATAAAATTCTTATATTACAATCTATGTGTTGCAAAAATGTTAACGACCATAAAAATGTTTTATGAAAAGTGTCTCAAAATTGTGGTCAAACAAGCAAAAATGTTTAGGATCGATCAATTGACCAACAAAGGCTAGATGATTTTTGTAAAACTTTTAGGTGAAATCATGTAGCATATTCAAACAAATATAGCCCTAAAAAGTATATCAAGAAACTATAGAAAGACCACTACATGAAACTTTTGATTGGTTCAAGATAGAAAGAAAAAAAAATATATATATATATATACACAACAAAGAATTCAAATCAAAAGATACATTGATCACAAATTGTTTTAGGACCATCGCAGATGAAACAAACATAAATTTTTTGTAACCACTATTAAACTAAAAATAAAACAATCAAATTTAGATGAGTAACTAAAAAAAATTGTACACAATAAAATAATCAATTTCAAATTAGTTTTTTTAAAAAAAAGAACAAGAAAAAGCCATTGCCTATTTTGAAGAGTGATCGCGGTCAACCACCATGGCAAACTAAGAAGCCACTAATACACAAATGCAAAAAATATATTCTTAAAGCCCCAAACACATTTCTCATGCATGATGGACAATGACACTTTTTACATTAGAGTAATTTTTTAGTGCCCAAAATATTAGAGTAATTTCATGTGGACAATGACACTTTTTACCAAGAAAGGTAATGTATCTTGTATATAAGAATAGCACTATAACATTCTCTCTTCTTCTATTTTTTTCATCTTGCTGCACTCAAATGCCTCTTCAACTCACAGAAAACCATGTAGTGGAATGGAATACATCTATTGATCCTCCATATAGTCATTCTATTTTGAGATATTTATACAGCAAATATTGCATAAACTTTGACATCATGTGTATGCGTACATATAAATGTATGTGTAGTCTTAAGTTCTTAAACGTCCAAGAATGCGTTTGAAGAAAACAACTTATTAAGCTCCAAAACAGTGTGAATAAATAACATTAAAATTACCAAAAACAAACCATAGAAGTATAAAGAAACAAATCCAAATGTTTTATGTAAATTCTACATGTTGTAATCATTTGAAATAACTTGTGGAATTAAGAAACTTGCGGCAACCACCCCCTGCAAATCTAGCACCTTTTAGAGAGAGAGAGAGAGAGAGAGGGGGGGGGGGGTAGGGGGTGTATAAACAAAGGCAACTTACTTTGCTAAATTTTCTCAAAAAGAAATTTAAGTGGCCAAAAATGGTGGTGTCCGTGATTAGTAGTGGTGGAGGTGATGTGATGGGTACTATGAAGTTGCTGCAAGTTCATCAAGAAAACCTGAAAATGGTGATGACGCAATTCCTTTTTTTTTTTTAACTCATATAAATGCAAGTAAAGAAGAACAAAATTCAATAGAAACAAAAGAATAGTTGAAAATTAATAATAAACAAACAGAGACTATATCATCATCTTCTTCTTCTTCTTCTTCTTCTTCTTTTGTAATAAATGACAAACAAAGACTATATCACATAGTCCATATCACCAAACATTTGCTACTGTAGTCTTTTCCTTTTCCAACCCACCTGTAATTTGCAACAGAAAGTAAGCACTTTAGTAGCATGATACAAAAAAAAAAAAAAAACTTGACTCTAAAGTTGGGACAACAATATGCTGCTTCTCAATGATCAATTTGCATGCTACGAGAACCAAGAACAGGTTTTAACATTAGCATCCACGACTTTATCCTACCTACAAATGAAATTATGACCTATTTTTTATATTTTTGTCTTATCAAAACTTAAATCACCTTAGATTTTAGTTCATATATTTGATTTTTTTCTTCCTAAGGTAACATTTAAAGAAATATATGGGAAAATTTTTTTGAGATCACTTCAGATCACTAAATTTACAGTTTTGGAATGAAAGTGTACCATGTTTCGAAACATGCGTATCAATACATAATTCGCTAGGGTATTAGCGTTTTCTGATAACATAGGTTGCTCACTATAAAGCACGGATACTCCGAAATGGCTCCCGTACGTGTATCGGATACGTATCGGATATGGATACGCGCCTGATACAGCGGGATACATATCAGATACGGCAAAGAAGTATCCAATTTTTTTTTTTAATTTTTTAATTTCGGATACGTTTGGAATACGCGAGGATACTTTAGAGATACGGTTAGGATACTTTCGGGATACGGCGGGGCAAAAAATTAATTTTAAACTTATAATGGGGTCAAATTATGAAATAACAAATGTAAGGTAAAATAAAACAAAAAAAAAATCAATCAACCAAACCCTACCTAGGTCACGATAGCAGTAGCAAAGGAGGAAAGGAGGAGGAGGAGTCTCTATCAACCAACAACCAGCAAGGAGCGTCGATCAGGTTCGCGAACAGCAGCTCATCGATGATCAGGTTCGTCCCCCTCTCTCTCTCTCTCCCTTTCGCTCGATCTCACACTCTCTCTCCTCCCTCTCCCTTT